ACGACCACCCCTTTGAGGGCGGGCATGCGTTTCAAGCAAGAATCTATCATGATTAGGGCCACGGGGCTCAGTAGTTGTATGTTACGACCACCCTTGAGAAGGTGGGCAGGTGGTCACGGTGGAAAGCCCGTCATGATGGAGATCATGAGAGCATATGTTCAAAGCGCACAATTACACGGAAAGTACTAATTATGAGAAGAAATATATGTTAACAGCATAGAAGCTTCTCTAAGCTATCTGGCTAAGAAATTACACAAACACACCGAAGCAGATCATCACAAGCATAGACAAAGATAGAAATAAACCAATCACAGCATTTGCATTTCAAGAAGTTCATGAGATCGTAAGAAGTACGTACATTACAGAAATTTAATTGGATACAAATGAAAACTAGAAAATACAATACTACTCTACGGAGGAGGAGGGGCAGCAGTCGAGTCGGCATTGCTCGAGCAGGCGTTCGGGTCGACCTGGGGACCAGTGCCAGAGGTCGAATCGCAGGCTTCATTAAGTGGGCGTCGTCGAATAGATTCAGCCATTGCGACCAACATGGCAGCCGGGGGAGTAGCATCATCGGGCAGAGCAAAGGTCTTCTTCAGAATCTCCGATCGGCCTAGGGTTCTTTCGAGCTGACCCGACCACCACTCATGCTCGAGAGGTAGAGTGGAATCCCCGTGGAAGCTAGAGGGAACCTTTGGTAAGGCATCCCATATAACTCTGGGGTCGAGCTGCTCAAAATCATCTTCGGCGATCTGCTCGCCGGTTTTTTGGAGGGCGAACTGAAAGCAATCAACCCCGAAATCTTGAACCTCCTTCAAAAATTGTGGTGACTGCATGAAGTCAGCCACCACTTGCGCACGATGTTCCCGGAGGAAGAGCTGCCCAGTTGTGGTTGCCCAAAGCATCTGCCTAGCCCGAAGGGCGGTGGCATTCGCATATCTTTGCTTCTCTTCAGCATGGACAGCCCTCTCTTTGGCCAGAATGGCCTCCAGTTCGGCCCGAGTAGCCTCTGCCTTGGCTAAGGCCGTCTCTGCCTGCACTCGAGCAGCCTCGGCCTGTGCCCGAGCGGCTTCCGTTTGTGCTCGACCAGGTCGCTCTTGCTCGAGCACGGCCTCCTTGTCTTTCAGCGCAGCTTCCTTCTCTGCTATGGTTGCCTCCTTAGCCGCGAGGGCAGCATCCCTTTCCGCGAGAGCCCTACTTTTATTGC